GGGGGCGCGAGGGTGGCATGCTAGGTACACTTATAAATAATACAAATTTGTATTCAGTAGAACCCAGACCATTAGCAGGGTTAGGTTTCTTAGCCCTTGAAAAAATCAAAAGTTTACAAGACCAACCAGGAGTAAATCTAGCCACAAACAGCTTTGTCTGATTTTAGGGTGCTCAAGTTATCTGGAAGAGCAGCAATCTTAGAAGCAGAAGCTGCATTTAAACAGGTGTGCTGTTGATCCTTGACTTGGCACAAGCTGTTACACATTAAGCAATTTATGAACTACAGGCAGTCCTCAACTTCTGACTTTGAGTTACAACAACCAGCATTTACAACATTTGTAAACTGACATTGTTTCAAGGTTCCAATGTGGGTTTTGCCTTGGCAATGCTCAACACAGCTGCATCCAGCTGGTAAGTCTGTTCAGGTGGGGGGAGGTGGGGGGGAGGGGTAGAGGGGACAGATCAATGCACCTGCAACAAGGAAGGGATTGCAGCTGGGGCAAGCTGCCCAGCCAGGGTAGGTGTGACTGGGGCAGGTGAGCGGGGCCAGGGCTGGGCTCCAGGCAGAAGCCACTGGAAGTACCCAGGCAGGGCAGTGGGGCATGGGACAGAGCCGCGCTCAGGCCTCCCTATGCCTCCCAGACAAGCCACACCCTGCACCACCCCAGCTGAGTGAGCAGCAGCAGCAGCAGCAGCAGCGCATGGCAGGGGCACATGACACCAAAATCTGGGGGGAGGTGAGCACGCTAGCAGGGAGCGAGAGATTGCAGAGGGATCTGGATAGGTTACAGGGGTGGGCTAACAGGAACAGGATGCGTTTTAACACGGACAAGTGCAGGGTGCTGCACTTGGGCAGTAGGAACCAGCGGCACACTTATACAATGGGGAACTCCTTACTCGAGAGCACGGAGGCAGAAAGGGATCTTGGAGTCATTATTGACTCCAAGATGAACATGGGCCGACAATGCGAGGTCATGGTTGGCAAGGCTAACCGGACCTTGTCGTGCATCCACAGGTGCATCTCGAGTAGAGCCAAAGAGGTGATCCTCCCCCTCTATGCGACACTGGTCAGGCCACAGCTGGAGTATTGTGTCCAGTTCTGTGCGCCCCAGTTCAAGAGGGATGTGGACAATATGGAGAGGGTCCAGAGGAGGGCCACCCGCATGATCCAGGGACAACAGGGCAGACTCTACAGTGAGAGACTGCGGGACCTGAACCTATTCAGCCTCCACAAGAGAAGGCTAAGGGGGGACCTGGTGACTGTCTATAGACTCACTAGGGGGGACCAGAGGGGTTTGGGGGAGACGCTGTTTCCCCTAGCGCCCGCTGGCATAACAAGGAGAAATGGGCACAAGCTGTTGGAGAGGAGGTATAGATTGAACATCCGCAAAAACTACTTCACCGTTAGGGCGGCTAGGAGCTGGAACCAACTTCCAAGGGAAGTGGTGCTGGCCCCTACCCTGGGGGTCTTTAAGAAGAGGCTGGATGCCCACCTAGCTGGACTCGTTTGAGTCCCATTTCTCTTTTTGGGGTTTTTGTTGTTCTCCCGCCCTGGCGGGGGGTCGGGCTAGAAGATCTACTAGGTCCCTTCCGACCCTTAATCTATGAATCTATGAATCTATGAATCTATGACCCCAGATCTGCACAGGGTGGGCGGCAGAGCAGGGGTTATGGACCGGCTGCAGCCACCCTAAAATTCCCCATAGCCCCCACTGCCTCTCTGAAGCAGCCCTGGTTACCCCACACAGATCCAGGGACAACCCCCCCACCTTGTCCTGCTGCTGCCCGGCTTGCCAGGGCGGGGCAAAACCACTGCTCATCCAGGAGGAGCAGGAGAGGGGCAGCTCCCGCTCCTGCATGCCACT